ACGACTCATGGCTTTGATGCTAATGTCATCATTTTCAGGAAGTGCTGTGTCGCTAAACTTTGGCATCTTGTTCAACCTGTAAATACATGGACCTACTGTAGGTATGGTTGGTGACTAGCTGCAGACATTGAAGTAGCAGCATACCTTTTTGCAACACAGAACACGTGGACTGCAGAGGGAGTTTTCCACCAGGTGGGAGAAATTCTTCTCAGATTCAAGAACAGGGTGTTGGTGAACACCTCCAAGTCATCCTCCACCTGTAAGATGGTGCAGTTTTGGTAAACGCTTCATAAAAAGATGCAGAACTGCAGGAGAACTTTATGCTCACCATAGGTGTAGTTCCACATTCATCAAAACCATAAGTGAAGACAAACTCATTTGCAAGCTCTCCGTTGCTGAAGCAGCCATTGCCCAGCTGGATTTCCTCTCCAGTCAGTTTGAGACCGCTGACACGCTTATCAACCAGCACGGTTAGTGTAGATGCATCACAATACACCTGTACTCTGGGAACATTGAGGAAGGGAGAGAGTCCAGCTAGCCTGTGAAAGTCAGGGGTCCAGGATCGCCAGGAGCTGAAGAGCTGCGGAGTAAAATCAAAGTTTCTTCCAAATGAAAAAGGCACTCGATTTTCATAAACTCCCACAACATCCTGGGTGAATCTGCCATTGTGATACAGAACAGACTGAACAGCAATAACACAACCAAGAAACACACAAAAAGATATCTGCGCGGTCCCCATCACGAGCCCCAAACAGGACCAACAATTCAGCTCATTCTCCCGTGACAAGTGCGTCATTAATAAGGTGCAGCGATAGTGGAGACAGGTGCTGGCAATCAAGCCAATGAAGCTGACTGGAAATGATTCTTTATTCAGTGTTAACACCACGGCAGGTGGACGGGACACGTCTAAGATGCTATTAGTGAAAAATGCAAAAATAAAATGAAGCAAAATGTGAATCTTGTTCAAATTTGTGGTTGTTCAGAACTTGGTTTTAGAAATCCCTCCATTGAAGGTCCAACCAGCGGCTGTTTAAACCTGTTCTTGAGAACTATTCTAACCAGAAGGCATAAAGACAGGATGGCTTTATATGGAGACGAGCTAAAAACAGCTCGTTTCAGACAGAGGGACGCTGAAGGGCTGCACCAAGGCCCAGTTTAAGATAAATCAGGATTATTTGGAACTGTAAATTATACAAAACTGTTTTAGGAGACTCCAAACACAAAAATATGGTGCTGGATATAAGAATTATGCCTGTTTGTAAGGTGTTAGTGGGCTTGGTGACAACATGAAAACTTGTAGGTTAAGTCATCTGGCAGGCCATTCCTCGGCTACAATCTGAACAAACCAAAAGCTGTGAAAACTTGGTTAGTTTGGGATAATCTAATGTCTATAACACCAAAAAAAACTTGTATTTATGTTACAGAATTTTCTTAGGCAAAAATATTCAAAATTATATATTTCTATTAAGTAGATGAAAGACATGTAATTTAACTCTGACTCTTCTTCTGTGTTGAGCAAACCTCAAGATTTAAGATTACATGTGTTAGATGTGTGTCGGCACACATGGCAGAAAACAAAATCACACTATGATTCTGGAATGCTTTCACTTTCAAGGAATGAAAGGAGTTCACACACAAAAGAGGAAACTGGTTATAAATGATTAAAGAAAGCCATAAACTGGGAGCACACCACCTTCTGCCTCATCTAGGTGGAGCCATTGTCAAAAAGCTGACTCAGGCTACGTTTACACTGCAGGCGAAAGCGCATCAAATCCGACTTTTCTGACCCTATGCGACACATATCCGATCATGGTGTGACAGTGTGCACGGCACAAATCCGATATTTTCAAATCCGATCTGGGTCACTTTCGTATGTGGTGCTGAATCCGATAGGATTAGGAAGCGACTGCTCTTTGATGGTCATGTCGCATTAAATCCGTCTTTTACGTCACCGACACAAGACAGACGCCAATTATCAGCGCCGGAGAAGACATCGCGAACGCTTCCTGGACATCCAGTGAAACTGTTGGGAACAACGTTGGAGAAACGTGAACATTTTATTTGTACTGTATAATCTGCAGATTCTGACAGAAATCTGCAACTATCCTTTGAAGCAGCGCTCCTCTAAAACAGCAATAAGGATCATTATTAGGTTATTTACATTATTATGCAAATAACAAAATAACTTAAAGCAAAAATTGGGCAACGTGAGGTCCGAAGTCTTTATATTAAGGGCCATCAGTCAAACAATACTGTTGGTCTGGGTCTAAACAGAGCGTTGTGTGTGACGTCTGGGTTAGGGCCAGAGGGGCCGATGGCGCGATATGGCAGCCTCGCTTCTGTCAGTCTGCCCCAGAGCTGCCTCCACCAGTGTGTGGATGTGAGAGTGAATGAATAGTGGCATTGTAAAGCGCTTTGGGTGCCTTGAAAAGCGCTATATAAATCCAATCCATTATTATTATTAATGGGATTATTAATGTAGAAAAGCACCATCAGGTTTTGATATCTGGAAAGCATCTGATTGGCCATTTTTTTTTAGCATGACAATGATCCCAAGCGCACTAACAATGCAGTAAAAGCATACCTGAATATAAAAACACACAAAGGAACCCGCAACTCAACTTACTTAAACTGTGTGGCAGAACAAAAAGCAGCAAGTGTGACTTTGAGGCTTGTTAGACTTGTACAAACTCTGCTTGTGCCTTATATACTCTGTTTCCATATATGTGTGTAGTCTACACGTTTTAAGAAGTAGCTGCACTAATTTCAAATTTCCTTGCAACATATAAAGAAATGAGGGGTGATTCAAGACTTTTGCATGGTCCTGTAAATAACAATTGGCCTATATTCTCATTCTGGGAAAATAAGAAGGTTAAATCCTGGTTTAGTTTTATACTTTTATACTTTTTGCAGAGAATATGTAAGCTACAGTCAACAGTATTCATAAGTATAAGAGTATTTCCCATCAGCAGACAAGGTTTGAGTCCACTTAAACCTGCCGTTGTGGTAAATAAATTACACAATCACGAAGCACGGTGACATGGTGATTAGCACTGTTGCCTCACAGCAAGAAGGTCCTGAATCCATCAGGCCGGAGTGTTTCTGTGTGGAGTTCTCTACGGCTCCCTCCCTCCAAAGACATGCAGTTAGTGGGGTTGGGTTAATTAACTCTAAATTGCCCACAGGTGTACGTGAAGGTCAGTGGAAATGGTTGTGTGTCTCTAGGCGTTAGCCCTGCGACACACTGGCGACCTGTCCAGAGTGTACCCTGCCTCTCCCCCTAAGACAGCCGGGATAGGCTCCAGCCCCCTGCGACCCTGACAAGGAGGTTAATGGATGGGATCACGATCATGACACTTTTTAAAAATCTAAAAACAATCTAATAAAATATAATAATAGCCTATGTGAATAAAGCTGTATTGTTTGGAAACATATGAATCCTTGTCATTGTCTCCGACCGACACTGGAGTGTTTTTTTTTTTTTTTAAGGTATCGTGGGCGGAGCTTCCGCTCAGGTAGAGCCCGTGTGTTCCCAGATGTGCGGCGTTTAGACGAAACCGACAACCCGCCGAAAAACGGTAGAGTCAGAAAGCTGTCGAGAATGAATTTACAAAAACGACAATAATATGAAAAACAAAGGAAACAGAAAGACGGGCACAGGTGAGTTAACCTTTCACGTAGTCTGGCAGGTACCGAGCAGGGGAATGTACGTGCTAAAGTTTCTAGGCGTGGTCTGTGCTTCTGAACATGGAGCTCAGTGAGGAAGAGACATAATCAAACCACAGTGTTATTGTTCTATTATAACTTAATATTTTAGTGTTTTTCTCGCCGTTTATACCGGTTAAGAATAATCCACCCATCGTATGGTTGGGTTTTACTATCAGTGATATTTCTTTAGACTTTCCTTGATATACAAGTGAATCTTTTGGGTAGCTGTGAATTATTGGATGCTAACAGTTTGGATAGGATAGTACAGTATGGAGCCTGTACCCCTCTAAGCGTCCTTTAAAAGTATGGAGCCAAACAAAGGTGAAAGGATTAGCTTATACTTTATCTATTCACACTGGGAATTCAGTACTGTTACTGCTACTTTACACTGCGGTGGGAAAGTGTGTGGCAACAAAGGACAAACTGCCAATATTATGACTGAAAACAAGTATTTCCACAGCACCCACGTGTGAGTGAGAGCAGCGCACCATTGGGCCACCTCTGTGTGCTGATAAATGTTTGAACACCCCACCCTAAGCTTTGTCTTGTTTGGTTCAGGATTTGCTTACATGGCCTCTAAACACGTGTGCTTCACTTTTCTTTCCTCTTAAAGCGAGGGACACAGAATAGAGCAGCGTGAGCCTGCTGAGACCTGCAGTCTTACCACAGCTGCAGTATTTTCTGCATGCAGTGGAAGACATCTTCAGGCCTCTCTGCAGGGGGCTGGGGATAATTGTGGTTACTGCCTTGTTCTCAGATTGTGCTAACCGCTGCCCCGCTTCCTTTTTAACTTTGCATGAGCCACGGTAAAGTCTGCACTAACTTCACACAAGGTGTTTCACATTGAGATCGTATTTCAGTTCAGTTCACATTTAATAAACGTGCATGCACACGCGTCAAGCTGATGTGCACACAGCTGTCAGAAAGTATGAACTGCTGCACACACAATGCAATGATGATGTAGCTGTTTATCCGCTTTTCCCCCGGCAGAGATCGTCATGTTCAAAGCTAAGTTAAGCTAAGATTTCCAAATAACATATTTTTGGTTTTGGCTTCCCTCAGGACTATGCTGTGCCAACCTCAAGGACAACAAAGTCTTGATGAAGATGGGGTTGGCGCTGGTGCTGGTGGGCCATGTAAACTTTATTCTTGGAGCGCTGGTGCACGGCACTGTGCTCAGACACATCAGTCTGCAACGCCAGGTCAAGAATTTGGTGTACCCCATCGCCAATATCATCGCTAT